GGTAACAATCATAAAAATACAACAATACAGCAATAAAACAACATAACAAAATAACATGATTCCCTTACATCCAATTGAAACTAACACTAATATAGTGTATCCATCTAGCCCACTGTCTTCCTCTCTTTCTTTTTCCTTCCACCTTTCCTAGCATTATCGTCTTTTCTAAGGAGTCGTGCCTTCGCATGATGTGACCAAAGTATGACAGCCTCATTTTTATCTTTTTTGGCTTCCAGGGATATTTCAGGCTTGATCTGTTCTCGGACTCATTTCTTTGTCTCCTTAGTATTCTCAGCACTCTTTGCCAGCGCATCTCAAATAACACTGACACCTTTTATTTTTTAAGCTATCTCTTGGACAATCGGAAACCAAACGCTGTCCATAAGGTAGCAAAATTTTACTACATTATATGCAAATTACGTCCCCAACTGGTTGACGGGAACTGACACAGTTATAGCTGACTTTGGATTTGCATTTGAATTTGTTTGACAATTTGAATAACTGTACTGTGTATTTATTATTTTATTAATTTCTGTATTGGTCAATGAACAAAAACATTTTACTACTACTGCTACTACATGCAGAGGGAGCTGTGTTGGCCATTTATCAAATTCAAGCAAAAATCCATCAGGGATACCTGTATTGGGCAACCCAAATGCACAATATACTTGTTGCATGTCTCCATTCCAGTAAGATCACAGGCAAGTATATGGTGCATTTGGGTTGGCCAATAAAGGTACATCTCAAATAATAAGTTGGTTTTCTTCCTATCCTACTTTCCCCGCTCTCATATCCGTACATGATGATGGGGAATAGAATGGCTTGGACGGTTCTAACTTTTGTGCTCAGTTGTATATATAGTTTACACTTTAGGATCTTGTCTAGTTCTAGTAAAAGACAAGGCAAAGGAGGGCAAAATATAGGACGTTCGAGAAAAATCTAGGACATGACTAAATCAAATATAATATCAATAGTATAAATCTAAATGTTGTCATGCTCAGGGTGTTTTGGCATTCCTCCTGGACAGAAGGTTGACATGTAGGACAAGTCCTGGAAAAGGAGGACCTCTGGTTACCCTAGGGGGGTTTGCCGTTGCCATCCTCTGAGGCTGAGAGAGTGTGACTTCCCCAAGGCAGGTTATGCAGAGGTCCTCACCACAAAGGAGGACAAGGCCTTGCCAAATGTAGGACATTTCAGAAAAAAATGTCGGGCATAAGAAAAAATAAAAAAGTTTTAAAACACTTCATAGAAATATAAAGTCATGCTTTTTTGTCATGCTCAGGATGTTTTGGAATTCCTCCTGGGCAGAAGACTGAAATGTAGGGCATGTCCTGGGCAAGGCCCCTCCAAATGTAGGACATTCCAGGATAAAAATAAATGTAAACAAAAGCTTTAACACACTTAAAAGAAATATAAAGCTATGCTTCTTTGTCATGCTCAGGATGTTTTGGCAAGGGCCCTCCAAATGTAGGTCATTCCAGAAAAAAAAATGTAGGGCATGAGCAAAATAAAAATAAAAAAGTTTTAAAACACTTAAAAGAAATATAAAATCATGCTTCTTTGTCATGCTCAGGAATTTCTGGCATTCCTTCTGGGCAGAATGCAGAAATGTAAGACAGGTATCCTGGCAAATATAGTATCTTTCCCTCCCAAGGTCCCTCTATGGCTGGGGTAGGCAACCTTTCCCCTTTAAAGGCAGAGGGACTTCAGCTCCCAGAAGCCTCAGCCATGTTGGCCAATAGTCCCATGTTGGCCAATAGCTCCTGGGATTCTGGGAGCTGAAGTCCTTTGACCCTTAAAGGGGAAAGGTTGCCTACCCCTGCTCTATGAGTTTCTATGGCCCAGCCAGGATTCGAACTCTGGACTCCAGATCAGAATCAGCCCTATAGCTTCCCCATTTCCTCTTCTCTCCCCCCCCACACCCATGATCCTAGAGAACTACATTTCCCAGGATGCTTGGGCTTCGATGATTTCTTTAATGAGAAGGGAAAGGGGGGAGAAAAAAAAATGAAAATAAAATAAAAAAAACTGGGGGAAGAAGGTGGGGAAACTCCTGGAACGTTGCATAATGACTCTCCGAACGTTGAGACATCTGGGGAGGGTGACGTCAGAGGAGGCTCCGCCCCGATGGAACGTTTGGGGTGCCAACGTTCGGTGGCTGGATCTGGGTTCTTTTGGAGCCAAATTGATCTCTCTCTCTCTCTCTCTCTCTCTCTCTCTCTATATATATATTCTGGTTTATTTAATATATTTTTTTTCCTTCCCATTGAAGAGCAAAGGAAGGGATGGGACCCACCTTGGAGCTTCTGAGACCTTTGCTTTGTCTATTCTTGGAAGGCTGGATGGCTGAATAAATTCCTCCCCAGCCCCAAAGAAAAACTCCATTTGGGGCATGGCTCTGCTGGGAAGGATCCCCTCAAGATCCTGAGGAGCTGATCCCCCTCCTTTCCCCAGGATCCCCTCAAGATCTCCTCCAGATCTCCCCCCAAAAACTCCCTTTTGCAAGGGCTACAATCCTGGAAGAGAGAGAAGGAGGGGTGTCCTTCTCCCTATATTGCATTGCAAGGC